TGGGGTGGGTGGTTCCTCGGTCTGTGAAAGTCCCTCCCTGGTTCACTCTTTCGAATTCCTGGATCTGCAACTGTTGATTTATTATATAATTTTTTTTTTTTGCTTATTTATAATGCGTCTATTGCAATTTTCACTTTATCCTCTCTAACAGTCCTAAGAGCGTTCAGAGTGCGCTACTTCACAGGGGGATTCGCCCCCTTGACCCCGCCGGGTCATACGTAATTCGCATAACGGCTCCCACCTTTCAAAATCCTGGCTACGTCCCTGCTTCAGTCTATGCTGGCTCCATCAGGTGACCACGGAAAAGTGGTCTTTAATTAAAGGGAGACCATTATCATTTCATTCATAACGCGCACGTGTGTTTTTAGGCCAGTACTGTCGCCTACTTTAAGATAACATGTTAACACAAGCGGTGTTAGGATAAACACATTGGGTTATTGTTGTTCAGTAACATTTCCGATAAGACGATTCATGATATAATTTATATTCGTGAAGTATAGTATCGGTAATTTCATGTCATAATATAGCATTCAGACTGGCCGGAAATTCGGTAAAACATGACTCACACCACATTGTGTGTTATAATTATTTCAATTAAAAATGGTTAATGGTAGCTTAACGGAATAAATTCTCTATATTCCCTTAAAAATCAACAGTATAACTATAAATTACATGTTCCTTCAAAATACATTGGTTAGTTGTCTGTAAAAAAACAGTACAATAACCCGGTAGACGCTTGTGATCTTGACAAAAAAAAAGATCATGCTATTCGATTTCATGGTCACTTCAGTCTATGCTGGCTTCATCAGGTGCAGTGAATAATAAAGATAAAAGACGTTTGTGTTTGGGACCACGGAAAAGTAGTCTTTAATTGGAGGAGTCTTTAATTAGAGGGAGACCAACATTATCATTTCACATAACGCGCACGTGTGTGTTTTTACGCCAGTACTGTCACCTACCATACTTTAAGAGGTTAATTGTTTAGTAACATTCCCGTTAAGACGATTTATGATTTGATATTCATTAATTTATATTTGCGAAATAGTACTGGTAATTTCATGTCATAGCATTCAGGCTGGCCGGAAATTCGGTAATAAATGGCTCACCACATTGTATCATCATAACTATTTCATTTAAAAATGGTTAATGGTAGGTTAACGGAATAAATTCTCTATATCCCCTTAAAATCAACTGTATATAAATTACATGTTCCTTTATAATACATTCGTTAGTTGTAATGTAAAAAACAGTACAATAACCCGGTAGATCTTGACAAAAAAAAATCATGCTATTCGATTTCAATTTATGATATGGGGAGGCTATGGAATGACAAATACTGTAATCCATAGAACATTAAACCTATTTGTAGTCCAATAAATTAAGAAGAATAGGCCTACCGTTAACAACAACTTACCATAAGATACCAGTCCATGTTCAATAGCTTATGTTTCACATGAAGATGTGTAACAAACATAATAAAAACGATGAACGTGCATAAAAGTGCTGAAATTGATACAAAAATCATAAATCCCCCTTTAAGTCCAGTGGCAGCTCCGACACAAACCAGGATAAATATTAGCAACGACCATCCCTGGAAAAAGTGATATACAGTATTATAAGATATGTCAGTGCCGCAGTGCGTGATAACCACCCCCTCACCCAATGTGAGGTTTGGTATCCACTCTGTATCGTAAGCCCAATATAGTGAATTCGTCGCTCTCCAAGTTGGGTGGGGGGGGGGGGGTAAAAGACCCTGCATTGAGGTGTCGAATCACTGGATTTTTAGGCTGAAGGGACGAGGCGCGGGAAAAAAAATTAACGAAGAACGACCAGCCGAATACGGCCATTGTTAGGTCATCCTCCAATTCGAGACCACTTTGGGGACTTGAAAATTTGAGGTTATCTCGGGGGTTAGAGGGTTAGCTTTATGTTAAAGAATTGCGGTTGCGAATTAGAGGGTCTTTAATTTAGGGGATGCACTCAATGCCGTACCAGGATTTTCAAACTGTGTGGGACAATATCAGGGTGGACCCACTTTACGTGTAAATTCAAATGATGTGGACCCATTTTCTTAAAAGTTTTTTTACGCAAAAATATTGATAATCTGGACCTGCAAAATATGAGAAATTTGGACTCATTTTTAAAATATGGACCCATTCTTTGTGGACCCAATAGAAAACTTGTGCGGGACTGTCATAATAGCTGGCTACTTCATTGGATATGCACTGTATAACCATGGAGCTGTAAAGAAATGGTATTCATCAATATACCAGGACAACGCGCCGCTGACAAAATTTTGTAGTTTTTGGAAATCTGATTCATTTGAAATTGAACTCGTTAGAAATGATCAACCTCTTAGTGGGCCTAGTTCTTGGCATTCATCGAAACAACACAATCTGTTCACTTGAATGTCCCAAAACTTACTAATGCTGTTCATTAAAAAAATTTAGGCCTACGTTAATGACCACTGAAATCAGGAACTACGGTAAATAATAACGAAATGGTTTACTTCGATACACACATTCTACTGTATTAATAATCTTCATGTTATGACAGCCTTCAGTTCTTTGTTGGTTCGAATTTCGTTAGCACTTCAATTAAAGGGATTGGATAATGAACACGGCAGAAAACTTTGCAGGAGCGGATTTAGGGGAAGAAGGGAAGGAGAGACTAAACAGGCTTTCCACACACCCTGGAAGTTTATTATCATGTATGTTTTTATGGCTGTGAATAATAGCTTATATAAGTTGGTCTAAATCATAACTTTAGTTTATCAATCACAACCGCTTTATGAGGAGACCATACTCCCATGGTGAGGTTGGTAGTAGATATTGATCCAAACTATCTGAAAGTTTCGGTACAGCACCTCCACTTCCCCACCCAACAAATTCCTAAAGAAAAAAACTAGAGCCTGGGTTTTGTAAATCAACATCCAGACATGATACAAAACACATGACGTTGTGTATCCGTGTGATAGGCCTACCGTGACAACACCAATACCTCCTTGGTACGCAACCTTAATTCAAACCACGTACCATTTCTTTCAGTTTGATGATACCGCGTATAGATTTAATGTAGGAAGTGTCGAACATACATCCCTCTGAATCATGGTTATGCGATGGGTCTTCGGCTGCATTCGTATTCGGATTGGTACTCCACTGATCTAAATCCGCCATTTCTTTATTATGTTATTAAGAGAGCTATTTCGACCTGCAATTTTTACGTTAGGCCTACCAGTAACAAAACGACATGATGAGTATTGGTAAGTTCCATTAGTCACCCAACGTATTGAAAACAGTATAGAGTAGGCCTAATTAAATAGACCTCTGTTATACTGTCCAAAGGTTATATTTGTAAAATGAGTAGCGTGAGATCATACCTGATTGGTGGTTCATAGTACTGTACTCCTATTTGCTTTCCCTCCTCAACAAGAAAACATTGTCGATGAGTGTTATGCACGTCTAATCGAAGTTTCCTACAAACTAAGTGAATAAGTATTGTTGACTTACAAGCTATAACTCAAATACAAAACTTTCAATCAATCAATAAATTAATCATTATATAATATAAAAGTATCTCATTCTGCTATTGCAAAAAAAAATGAGGGCGTATCTCTGACAGTCTATCGCATGGTATGAGTGTTATATCCAAATTGTGACGCCAGCCACGTTAAAATGAATACGGTAACCCTACTGACAAGACAGTGAAATGACGTTCACGGTTTTAGTCTTGAGTGGCGTATTTAGGGGTGGAGCTCACCGGCGCCCCCATTTCTCCATTGAAAATTTTTGAACGAATCTAAATATCACGCTCAAGTACTTTAAAAATCAACTTATTTTGCGAGCTAGGTCCCCCTCACCTAATCATCGAGGCTCACGCTTCACCTTCGCCCAGATTGTCAGATTCTTCTTTACTATTAATATTTATGGCTTTATTCTGCTTGCTGTTTCTGGGTTTTTCAACATGCATTATATATGAGGGTGAATAGACCTACATCCGTATTTATTCGAATAAACGACTCTCTTTAAATAAATGGCTCCTCGAATAACCGCCCCTCTCAGATCCTAATTTGGAATAAAACGCTTCCCTCGAATAAACGCCACGAGGCGTTTATTTATTTTTTTCAAATAAACGCCTCCCTAAATGACTGTAGGCATAAACAAAACTAATGGAAGCAAAATCTTTCTCAACACATTCTATTAATGTTCTACTCCAGTAG